ATAACATTTTCCTCCACGTCTCGAACAACAACATTTGTATTCACTATTGGCTGAAATTCTTATTCTCGTATTTCTTTTAAAGTACTGTATATGTAGAGAATCGCTTACCAGCATATTCATGTGTCTTGAAAAACTATAGGAGAATTTTTAGAATCTTGAATTAAGTCTCATTCCTAAAAAAAACTCAACTGGGCAGAAATTGTATTCTTCTTGCATTCTATATAGAAAATTTCCCAATTCCTTTGATGATCTTTCATTGGATTTTCAGATTTTTTCCTTCGGAAATTCTCACTGATCACATTAATCTGGCTTTCCTTCCTCAGTGTTTCCAGAATTTAACTTATTCTCCAAACCCGTACCATGTTCACGACTATATGAACTCTCCAGTGACACTTTTTTTACATTTGATGCTCGACGAATTTTATTTTATTTTTCATCTCGAAGTATATCCTTTTTAGCACGATCAAATTCAGCTGAAATTTCCTCCTCATGACTCGGTCAACTCATGAAGAGGTGAGTCGAAAATTTAAAAAACTACCGTATGATTATGCCTTGGTCATTTGTTGAAAATAAAATCGATCTGAAGGTTTGACTTAAATTACTGTGGAAGCATTTCATGTTGCAGGCATGAGAGAAACGGTATTGGAGTAATGTTTGTTTCCGAGTTGGTTTTTGACACAAGTGATACAAAATCATCTTCGCCAGAAAAAAAAAAAGTCGAAAAATCTTACAAAATAATTGTATGCTTGGATTGATGCGTTGTTGACGTTGATTGCGGAGCAAACGACGCGAGCTTTTGTTCCTCCAGTCTTTCATCTCAAACTTCAACCGCCGAATGAGAGGGATAACAAAAAGAAATTTCTTTTGTAAAGTTCCTTATTCTTTAATCTATATATCAAGTAAATACCCAGGAAACGGAGCAATTGGGATACTGTATATAAAAGAGAAGCATGTTGTGGTTTGTGCAATATACGGGTGTGGGTCGGACTGACAGCTTTTGTCGACGGAAGTCCCTGTGGGATGCTGTTATCGGGGATGACGACGACGCTTCCTTAGGTGTCAGCGACGTCGTTGACGAAGCGTCATTCTCCTGTTGCCCGTAAAAGCCCTATTATTTTTTCTCCCGTGACGAGACGGAGACCCACGAAGATTGCGATTGTAACGAAGTCTCGGTATTTAATATCTAAAATGTTTCATTTTTTTCTATTTTTTTTTTTGCAGAAGACACGCCAGCAAAAAGATGGCAGAACTCGATGCTTCAGCAGTTTCGGAGGGCGATACGAATAAGGGTAAGTTTATTGGTGGAACTCATTTTTCAACCTTCTCGGATCTTGAAACAGTTTCTTTTTCAATTTCGAAAGCAGCTAGTGTACTAATTTTTTTATCAATTGAAAGTTTATTTGATACGCATAGAAACCTACTTTTGGCATCAAATAGCTCATGAGAAGTTTACTTGAGGAATTTACTACTGTATGCCGAAGCGCTCAGATATTGAAATTCAAAATAAATCGTTCCTCCTCCGCAATTGATCTTGGTACAGTGGTATATTTTCAACTCTTTCGAAATCGGTAGTATTTTCTGTTATTAGGCTATCAATTTCAAAGAATTCGTGAAAAAGACCGGATTAGAATAACGAGGAATTTTATTTGACAGCAATACCTTTTTCAAGTAGAGGAAACACTCTATCACACACTTAGGCAAAGTTTTCAATAATGATATTTTGTGTTTTAAATTTGAAAGGGGTTTTAAAAAGTAGTGGTGGAATTTAAGCAATTCATTATACAGTATCATGAGGTTTTGTTTGCAAATGATTAGACAACGGATTTACTTGCACTAGTAATAATCTCAATTTAGAATGAAGTGCTGGATACGAATATATTTGTCGATAATCTCAATTGTCTCGGCATATTTTATTACAGTCCTGTACTGTATATGGTAACATCGAAAACGAAAATCTGAACTGTCATTTTGCCTTGTTTAGTAAAAACGTTTCTGATTAAATATAGTTTATACTCTATACGTCGATTAAATTACTGTGCATGAATTTCGAAACGTGGGCTGCATCTTACCACATATTTTAGGTGCAATTCAAAATAATGTTTTAGTCCTAAGTAGATTACGCAGAAAATTTCAGGGAACATTGAAGAAACGTGATTGATTTTGGCCCAGCACTCACAAGAATTCAAATTTTCAAAAGAGGGTGAAAAAAGCTAGATGCTAATTAGAAAACGACCGTGAGAGGAATCCATTATGTAGTGCATGAGATTATTTTTAAAATGAAGCCTGGCGTCAGTTTCCCAAATTTACCCTCAAAATTAAGGGTGAATTTTCATGCGGTCCGTCCAATTCAATAATTATTGAAACTTTGAAACTGTTCCTTTCAATTTCGGTGGATGTTGCTGAAGTCAAATTCTGTTCATGACAAGTGACAACCGAAGTGCCGGTTTGGAAAGAAGTACAATCGTTTGCTTGATTTGTTTGGTTTTCAGGTTCGCAACACTTTATCAAATTCAGTAAAGAATTGGCCAACATGACCCGTGACGCAGGTGATTCAGTAAAACTCAAGTGCGAAGTTTACGGCATTCCTGCCCCAAAGAAAATTCGCTGGTACCGCAACGAAGTGCCGATCGAGGAGGAACGAGGGCGAATAGCAATTCGCAGCTACAACACTCCACCGCCGTCTTCTATGCTCGACGACGAAACAGACGACTACTACGATGACTCTGACTCCGGCAAGAGGTCGCTCGTAGAGCAAGCCATGCCCAATTTCCGTGGTTCGAGGCTCCGTATCACCGAGTTGGACGTTCTGGATGATTCCGGGTTCTACAAATGCGTGGCTACCAACGGCTTCCAGAAAATCTCATCCACTGGGATTGTCAAGATCAACCCAGGGGGTAGTTTTGGTGAGCTCTTTTTCTATCCCGCATGAAACGATTGAATTCCTGTAAAATGAGCTGCGCAGTATCGTAATTCACACTGCATCAATCCATGAAGGATGTACAGTTATGATACTTAAGAATGATAACGAGCACCGTTATCTGGTTACTCAGCAAAGAAAACTTAATTGATCATACTGGAACATTTCTTCACTGATCGATGACTAATATTTACGCTATGTTCTTTTTCCAGGTCGTGAACGTCAGTCGGCAACAATTCCGCAGTATTCTCTGCAATTCCCTCCAAATTTTGAAGGGTGAGTACAACTTATTTCTTCTGTTATGTAACTCAGGTGATCAGGTCCCATTCTGATATTGATTTTTTAATTATTATTTCGAAGACTTTGAAAGGCTGGTTGCGCCATTGAGCTTCCTTATTTGGACATTATTTTTTCCTTTCTTGAAATATTGTTATTGATGCATAAATCTGGTCCACTCCTGTGATTATTAATATCCACCATGGGAATTTCGGAGGCTAGAAATTTGAGTGAAAATCAGCATGAGCATCTTTGATTGACACATTTTAGATATTATTAACTGATTGTGTAAATCGAGTCGAACAAGATGCCGTTATTCAAATATCCTCTGATTTTCCCGGCCCCAAAAAACCCTCTCGACAAATTTTCCTTTCTTGTGCTTTATAAATTTCTCCTCTATTGCATAAGTTTGACAAATTTCATTGTGGTTTTCCTGATGTTTATTGAATTAAATGTAAGCCTCGGTATATATTCTCTGCTCAGGCCTCGCTGCAGGAGGACTTGTATAGAGCAGTTTGTTTTTCCGGAAAGCAGGCCAAAAAATAATCTCACCCTAGTTCGCTAGATCCGCATCTCACGTTTTGCTCCACTCCCATTCATCCCCAGGATATAATGCCGTGGGCTAGAGTAAAGTTCATTTTCTTTGAATGAGCATGCTTGTCGAAGGTACAGGATATGTGTCTTCGAAAGGGAGCACCTGAACGTAAACAAAAAATATATGCACAAACAAAATTTAACGATGAAGTCCGAGCAGTTTTACTTCGAGTCGTAAAATTTGTACGCCGGGAGTTCATGTTCCGGAAGAACCTTGAACAGCGTTGATTCATAACGGGTTCTAACTTGACGACTGGAGCAATTTTCGACGCTTTTTGCATTGCGCAATTTTTGAGACTTGAACGAAGTTTTTGTTCCACCTGCATGCATTACATTTCATACTTTCTGTGATAAACAAATATATGCACACTTGAATTTTTCGCTTTCAAGACGCACGGTTTCCTTTCTGAAAGTAAGTTAATCGGTCTCTTAGTGTGGTTTCCTTCAGTCAGATTTTGATACTAAATAAACTTCCATTACATTTTTGGCTTATGTGTTACTAAGTTCTGGGAAATCACGCATCCCTTTGCAATAAATCCAATTCATGAAATTCACAGGAAAACAGCAAAGGAGGGCTGTTAGACGTGTTTCAATAGGCTTTCCATTTCTTTTGCCAGGGAAGGGGGGGGGGGGTGGCAGGGATATTTATTTAAAATTGAAAAAATTTAAAATGAAAAAATTATCCTTTCAACAAGTTTACAAAATCTTTTCCTGTGGTGTCACTTGCCCAGGTGTGGCTGGGCACAACCCCCAAGTTTAGGATAGAGTGAGAAATGAGAATAGACTGGATAATTTCATCATGTAGAAGTGCAATTCACGTGAAATTTTGTAAAATTAATTTGTACCTGAAACGCTAATTGGATTTGTTGCCTGAAAAAAAGAAACGTCTGTTAACAAATCCACCTTTTCAAATTTGTTCTCTTTTTTTCTATTGCAACAATAAAAAATTATAATAGCTCCAGTTTTTCGAGATAATGTTGGGTAAGTAATTACTGGGTTGAGAATCCTATGGGCAAAAACCAACTGCACGAGAGAGGTGCCAAAAATAATCACCAGATTCTTTTTTTTTCTCCACCTGGAACTGGCCTGAAAAAAAAAGAAGCATAAAACTTTCGTAAGTGAACACAATTCTTCCCTTGTTACATCCATTGCGATCTGAAACGGAACAGACAGCCTGGTTTATTCATCTCTTCCCCCCTGAGCCTGGGTCGTACATTATCCTGTTTGTGTGGAGGAGCCTCATGTTGGGGCGCAGGACACCCAGACTCGCCCACGCCATTTCGATCCGCCCCAACTCATGTTATTGTCGACCAACGTAGCAAAATCCGAATAAAAACAAAGAAGACTGCTGGGGACCATATCCAAAATTTTCTGGCTTGTTTGGTGACTGGTGCCTCTGACCAGGAATGAGGAAATAGCCGGAATTGCACGCCACCCGAATTTTTTTTCTGAAAGGGAACCAAATGCAAAAAAAGAGGAGGTTAACTCGACACATAGAAGAAGACCTTCTGGCGACAGAACGTGTTTTTGGGAACGGTAAGAACCTTAAAAGTGTAACCCGGGAGCATGTCTGTTTTTTTTGTCTAATTTTAAATGATGGAATATGAGCGATATTCAAAAATACAGTAGAGGTGGTACCTTGCAATTTGACCCTAATCCGTCACCAGACTGGGATCAAATTGAAAATTGGTCAGACTGCAAGACACTTTGTAGAATTGAGAAATATCAGCACAAAAATGGGAAAAAAGTTGAAAAAGCAGGTCAAATTCTGGGACAGAGGATGAATTGCAAGTCAACCTCTCGGCAAATTCAACTGTCATATTGTGGGATGGTCAAATTGTGGGAGGTTGAATTGTGAGGTACCACCTGTATAATACAAAAATTGCTTGACAGAAAATGCTGCATCCAATGAGATGTTATCCTATAACTTGAGATTGGAATCTCAACACACAGTTCTTCTTGAGATTGGTTGGGATTCCAATCTCAAGTTAGTATCCCTAATTTCTATAAAACTTTGTGTTGAGGTAGTCTTCACATAACATGATATTCATGTTCAATTGTTTTGTGCTGCTGGTCAGCTTTTTCATGCTCCTCAAGTGTATTTTACGGAATAGGCTGTGCCCATCACAAGTTAATCCTTCAGGCGCACACACAAGCAGATTTTTGAGAAATTAATACATTAGCGCTTCAATAATTTTGTCTTTGATTGATCCAAGCTGGAAAATAATTGGAAGTTGATCAGGAGTAAAAGAAGCAGCCGCATTTTTTATTTGAGCGGCTTCCATTTCTTTACAAAATTCAAGTTTGGGAGAAGAATAATTAAGCCGCTCAAATAAAAATATAAAAATAAATGTTTCCTTGCATGGAAAATATGATCAAATCGCCTAAATATACGAAAAACACCCCGCACTGCATAATGTTACCATATGCCATCCTCATCCCTGCGCCAATAATATAGTTTTTTTTTTAATCAAGTGTCAGCGTATGCACATCCTTTCCGTGAGAGTGTTCTCATTAGATGTTCTTCAAATAAAACTTCCAGATACCTTCGAGATATGTTTTTTTTTCAATTAGTAATACATTTGAAAATTTGGTTCGCATTGCTGTGCGTGTTATGCTTTGGATGGAGAAAGGAACTGAATGTTGTACAGTATCTCTGCTTCGAAGCGTTCTGTATGATGACGAAAAGAAAGAAACGAGTGCCTGAAGACTCCGAACAAGACGAGAGCAGTTGCGGATAACGTTGCTCTGACACATCACATCCATAGTACTGTCTGTTCGAGACTTAGAAAATTGTTACGATCCCACTTCGAATTATAGAGTTATTGGTCCATTCATATTGCTCCAATGTTCCCCGAATAAAAATGGATCTATGCTTGGGAATAACCAGCCTCATTAAGAAAAGCGTGATGATATTGTATTTCTATCTGCAATTATAGAGGAGGAATGGGGAATTCCGATGATTATGTAAAAAGAATTACAGTGAATCTGGTTTTCCGGATGAATGTTAGAAAGAAAAAATTTTCTGTATGAATTTTGGTCTTCACATACGTGTATGAGGAGTATGAGGGCATATGATCCAGTTGACTAAAATATGAAACTTGATCTCTTCCCTCCTGTACGTTAGAGCTAGAAATCGTTGCCAAAAAATTGAGTTGGAGTAATTCTGGTACAGTATAATTTTTTTTTTCGAGTGAATTTATTCGGCTTGTCCGGAATGAATTGAGATTGAGAGATATGAAATTCCAAAAGAAATTCTCCGGACTGTGGTTGAAAGAAATGCCAGTTCTAAACTGATTTTCTTCTTCTTGATTCTGCGCTAATGCGCTTCTCAATTTATTTTCAGAACCTTGTCTTTATTGAAGTTCTTTTTATAAATTTTACGAAAATAACTTATCTATGCTGCGGTCGAAAGAAACCACTTGACAATATGTTTGTACACCTTATTTTCATTTCTCACGATTCCGCTTTAATCGGTGAATCTCTCTTTTTCTTTATTTCTTCTCATTAAATTCCATCATTATACGTTTCTTTCACTCGGGAATACAGTATTTTGAAATCCCTGCAAATAAATTTTCTAGGCTGCGGTCGAAAGAAAATACATACTGTATTTATTAGTGTAGTTTTGTGCTAGTTTTATTCATCTTGATTTCGCGGAGATTTATCTGTGAGATTTTCGATATCCCCTCATTGAATTAGATCGGAAGCCTCTTTCATCCGATGTCATTCCGGAATTCCTAAAAAAAAAATATCTGGGCTGTGGTCGAAAGAAACTGCAGTTTTGGTTTTTTTCTGGAATCCGCGGCAATGTTTGTGCGTTTATGTGATTTTCAAACGTATTCTATATCTCATAAGGCAATTGCATCAAAACTTTCTCAGTGTAACTGGGTTGAACAGTAGTTCGTGATGGTGTGTGAGTGCTGCTGCTGGGGGAGAGAGAAGGACGAGCCCCAGATCCGCCGCGCGTGCTCTTACAACTTTACTATACGCACTATACACAGTAATGCCAGAGCCATGTGCGGGAATAAATCGATGGAATCCTCGTCCGGGAAGCGGGGTCGCCTGAGGTCGTCCGCCGAGGCACAGAAAGCGAACAGAACAGAACAGAAAGAACCCCGGGGTTCCCTTGGGTTATTTTCGCGCTCCCCCATATCCGAGTGAACTGAAGGCTCGCTTTCCTCGCGCGTCATGCGTGCGAACCCATCGATGCCATATACACGAGAACCCAGAGATGCGAATTGTACATGGTTTCCAAACAGGAGGCCAACATGTATGGTCCGAGTGCTGGGAAGTTTTAATTGGACAGAGAGCGTATTTTGAGATGCCGGCAATTTTTTTTTCCAAGCGACGATTTTCAACATGTTCGAGAATTTAAATTTTGAAATGTTTTCAGATTTTTGAGACGTATATCTTTAAATAGGAAGGGGTTGAGGTATAGTGCATTATTTAACTTTGCTTTTTTTTTCCAAAAGCAGTGTACACGTTCTTAAATCGGGAAATACATTGGTGAATAAAATGATGAACGTCAACATAAAACGAGACAAACCTCTTTCTGAGATTTTACATTTTATTTTTTATTACCGTGAATGTGAAAGAAACGCATGGTTGAAGTTAATCAAAGAGTAAATGCTGAATAATGGTCCTTATACTGGACCATTAGAAGGTGTTTCCCAGTGAGACTAAGCGCGGAAACATACTGTATTCTTTACAAGATGGAAATCAGAAATTCCCCGGAATTCTTCCATTGTGCGCGGATTGAATGGTAAAGCCCTTGAATAAGGTCGAAAAACTTTCCTAAGTAAAAGTCCATGCATCAACCCAACTGTTCTAGCACACAATATTGTATCTTTCTAACGAACTTATTTATGTGGTACCTGAATTCTTCAACCGCAGTTCCTCATCCTCAAAAAGCATAATGCAGTACCTTGATATTACGAGGTCATGATGGTACCTGGTGGAATGTATATGTACTTTATTTGTTATCAATTTGTGCTCTGTTTCCTGCTCTGAAGTGATTGAATGTCATTGAGTGGATTTGGGTTGGTTGGGAAGGGGGTTTGGTTGTGGAAATCTTGATTGAACCTTGTGAATGCTGAAAAGCGGCAAATAAAGTGTTCTGTTCATTCATTCATGTACTCCACAGTATAGACTCTAGCCCTTTTGTGGCAAAGTTGGACTTTTCAAAAAATTTTGGATGCTCTGCAGAATGAAATAAAAAAAATCCATGATAGTTTGTGAAGGGAAAAGTTGGGGAAAATCATGATGTCTCCACAGAAAAATTTTACTCAGAAATGAAAAAGGCTATCTACAAGGATGATTTCCCCCCCTTGGCTTTTATTGTTTCATTTTTCAAAGATTACGTTCAAGCTTAAAAGCCAGAATCCCAGTACCTGGAATTGTACTTTGTTGCAAATAAGAAAATATTTCTGCTGAAGTTTAAATTGATAAATATTTGAAGTGATATTCGTCATTTTCTTTTTGAACAAAAAATATTTGATCTCGATTAGTCGTCGCTTTCCTGTGCATATTATAAAAAGTATCTGTTTTTTGATGCGGGAGAACATGAAGCAATCTTTAATCAATATGTGCCGAATATTTCATATTTTCCTCAACAGCCTCGATTCAAATCTGAAAATACCTCTTAAAAAATTCAAGGTAAAAAAAACCTACAAAATCTGGGATAGGAACTGCTAATTTCCCGGCAACCTTTCGTGCAGCTGACTGACCATTGATGGGTACAAGTGCAGCAGCAGCAGCAGTAAATAAGGAACCCCTCCCGTTCCCGGGCAAGAGCCTTTCCCGGCGCCAGCGTGATCAGTCCGCCGCGTGCCTTCCTTGTTCACGCAGCTTCCCGGAACTATCTGGCGGTGGTGTCTTTCTCTCTCGCAGGGTTTTGCAAATGTGTCGTTCCCTTTAACCCGAATATACCACAGTGTTCCTTCTTGCAGTGCTGGAATGTGGCATCCTTCTCGAACATTTTAGGAAAAAACTATAAACAGAATGCAAACACAATGCGTACACACGAAAAAAGGTGGACTCCCTCTGCAACGAAATTCAGGGGACGAGAAAATTTCCGAGGTTGAGATAATTCTGTAGTACAGTAAAGATCCTCTGAAATATGGGTAGAGATGCTAAATGGATCAACAAATTTCGTTTTAAAGATAAAATCGTTGTTGACACAATTTTTTTTAGAGAGAATCTCTCTTTAAAAGTTGCAGGGACACGCCTCTAAACCAAGATTTTTCGAAATTCCTGAAAATTGCCGAGTGATGCACACGTTTCTACAGACCCATTAAAAATCGTGATTATTTCCGGGAGTTACAAAATAAAGAGCACTGGTTAGATAATTACCAGTACCCTGGCTCTGTTCGACTATGAAAAAAATTATATTTTAACTTGAACCGGTTCATTTCCTCCTCAGTGACGGACATTCCGTGTTAACCCTGTTTCATTTCGTCGGTGAAGTGCTGAATATCATACAAAATCATCATATGAATAGTTAACGCGTTGAATAGCAAGTTCCCAAGATCTACGATAATATCATATTTGATTATTTGGTCTGTAAGGTGAACGATCATTAGGGTCGCATAATTATACTGTAATTATATATGCTATGATTATACTGTAGTTTTACTAAGTTGAACTTCAATTGTTTATTCTGTGTTAATAAAATATGGGGAGGAAGTGGAAGATTGCATGGCGAAAAAAATCCTGGTTTAATTTCCTGCCTTAATTACCTTGGTGAAGAAAGTGGACACTTGTGCTATTTTCGGGACCTATGAAAAATTCGTGGCTATGTCTAAGAAAAACGATTTCTTTCTATGATCAGTGAATGAATGACACTAGTACAATAAGTTAATGAATGACACGGTGGCATTTCAATTTGATCGCAGGAATCTCTCTGAAAAGGCGTCACTTTTGGTTCCATTTCCGAGGCGTAATTTTCGCGTAACCAGTCACATTTGGGATGTTTCTGGAGCATGTTTGTTTATTTTTCTATCTTTCCTTCTTTTGACATGCATTTTATAATCGCTTGTTCGTAATGCCTGGATATATTGGCGTTTTTATGGGTCTAGCACAGCGGGAACCACCCTGTTGGAGAGCCGGGAAAATAATTAAAAATCCATGTGACAACCAAAAATCAATTTCGAAGGTCTCCCACGTCTTCTGAGTCTCTGTCGACGAGATTTGATTTGTACATCAAGTACTGTACTCAGTTCTCATATTTGATCTTGTGAAAATATGTTCCATCTCTTCTCACGTCGAATTGTTTTTTCCATCCCGGTTGTCGACTTGATCCATCGATATATATACACAGCATTGGATTATCGATTTGCCTAATTTGTGAATCGGAAATTCTCGTGGTTTTTTAAACGACGTTTTTGGCCAAAAACATGAAGTGTTTCTGGTTAATCGTGTTTTCGGCAGCCGTCAGCTGGTGCAAGGCTCAAAATTTGAATGCGTACGTTGACATTTTTTATCATAGCATGTTCACTGGGAAATTTATCGCTTGTGCGTATGGTCATTCTAATGCGTGACGAAACCCGCGACTTTATTCGTTGTCACACAGGTGTCGCTTGAATCGTATTCCAATTTTTACGTACAATACTGCACTACAGTATATTAGTGTTGGGTTGGAGGATTTTTTTTATCGGGCAAGTTATTTATAGGAAAGTCCTACTTCATGAAATACTCGAGGAGGTTATCTTATTCATTGAAAAGAACGTTTTTTTTAAATTATAACATAATTTGATCTCGCATGAAATATTCAATGGCGACCACGTTTTGGACATGAAGTAATAAGTGATAATTTATATCGATTTAGGTTTAGGAAGTACTCTAGCAACATCCTGGAGGATTTATGAATAGAATGTTGATAGGTCGAGCCTCGAAGCATTTACAACAATGTAACAAAATAATCCATGGTTCATATTTTAATTCAAAGATCAAGTTTTGTCAATTTTGATTCATTGTGCTGAAAAGAGCCTCATTTGTAGAGGGCTGCAATTTTTACGCAAAAAGACGATGCATAACCTTAGAAGTCCGAGGAGAATGTTTCGAAGAACTGCCTTGAATTACTGTTCAGTACTGTCATTTTCCAGTTATAAGTGAAAATGCATCTCCTTCTGGCATGCTTTTCCCCCAAATAAATTTCCAACATCCAGAATTCCGTTGAAAGTGTCTTTCCTCTTTTGTTAAGTGGAGCACCTGAACGAACAATCCATACCTGAAAGAATAGTACCGTACTGTATTTAATTTTAAAAATAAGTCCATCGTCTTTTATTTATTTATTTCATATATTTGTTAAATTTTAATTTATACAGGTCATACATCGACATGGACACTGGGCCGAGCTTCAGCCCGGACCACGGGTTCGGCCACAACCTGATGCCGCCGCCGGTGCCCGACGTGTCGTTCGGACCCAATTCCCCGTCGTCATCGTCGTCGGACTCGTCGTCCACGTCAACGTCGGGCAAGTGCCAAGTCTACGACGGGGCCACGTGTGCCCTGTACGTCGGCAATTCGTCCGTCTACATCCCCGGCGGCCACAACCAGGCCCTGACGGAGAAACGCATGACTGAGGCCATCACAGTGATTGCGAGTTCGGGTGACCTGTCGAAACCCTGCGGGAAATACGCCATTTCCGCCTTGTGCTACACCACGTTCCCGCCGTGCAAACGTCGGTCTAGGCTTCGATCCGAGCCCGTGTATATTTGCCGGTGAGTCGAAAACTTCTTCATGAATGGCGGTCTTTTGGTCAAAGGGGGCTGTTTTGTGCGCGCCTGGGATTTAACAGGGCGCAGTGTGTTTTTTTTTCTTCATAAAAACGTGTTTCTATACCTGATATAGTACTGGATAAAAAAAAATACTTGAGAGGGACAAATAAAGCCGGATACAGAACTGTGTGAGAAAATGATGACAAAATAGCTCTAAAAACGTGATATCCTAATTGTAGCAGCTACATTCCTTAAAATCATGACTACGATGCGAAGGTTGATCATGCAAGTGTTTGGTTTGTGCGGTATCATGAAATTTAATTCGTTCGATGTCCAATTTTTTTCATTAAAACCTCAAAATATTCTTTGAAATTTTAAAATACGTTTTTAAAGCTGACCTTTTGATGTTGGACACGTCTGGTTCATCATCAAACAAAATTCAAGGCAAACTTCTCATTTAGCATCCGTAACACAAGCATTACAAGATCTTAATTTTTTCTCCTTCGAATGTGGTTGTCAAATATGCAGAATTGTCATCATGGTTTTTTTTAATTGAATAAATTGAGTACAGTACTGTATATGATGGAAATTAGTAGACCACGTGTCAAGTTCATAATTGTTGCATGTGAATCTTATTACCTCTTGACAATTCTGTTCACTTCGGAGTCTCGTCTCACCCCTTATTTTCAAATGGGCGAAGAAAAATTTGAAACAGTGGTCAATCAATTAATCAATACTTTGGGGAAACAAATGCCCTCCGTTTATCGAATATTAGACAAGACAGCGTAAGCTCTGAAAACCCATAAAAATCGGTACCATTTGCAGAAAACTTTTCAAGGCGTTAACTTCAACTATTTGGCTGTGTAATCGTCTGAAGAAAGCTAGAAAGCATTTTTTCGCAAGCAATGCATTGCATTTTCTTGCTGTTTTCGCACGGTGCTATTTTAGAAGCGGTATTTCGAGACCAGCCAATTTGGGACGAGTTCAAGTATTCCCTTCCTTTGTATTTTCAGACTTATTTTGTTTCTTTTGAGCTTTCATGAACCCTCCGTTTCGGGGAAAACATGCTTATTGTAGGTGCACTATTACTAAGAATGCCGCTGCCGTGCTTCCGGGTTCATCTAATCTTGGAGGGGAAGATAGAAAAACTTCTTAAAATATTTTGTTCCGTCAAATGAATTATTTCTTTATATCCCGAACGAGCGGCTGAAGTCAGAAATATTTTGCTCCTGTATTTAGTTTAATTCCCTTTAATTCGAAATGAAAATACATTTTTCCAAGAATTATTAATCTCTGTCATGTGAGTATTTAAGTGGCTATTATAAACTAAAGTCTTCGCACCAAAACAAACTATGCTGGATGAAATGGGAGTATCAGAATGAGATTGACGAAAACTACCGTATTCTTGTATTTCATACAGCGACGAATGCGAAATTTTGGAGCACGATATTTGCAAAGTGGAATACGCGATTGCCAAGAAGCACCCGCTGATCGGCATGCAAATCAAGCTCCCGGATTGTGCAGAACTTCCGCCGATTGCGTCGCCAGCGTCCGAAGACTGCCTGCGAATCGGAATCCCACGCGTAGCCGAGATACGGGACAGTACGTAGAGCGATACCCAGTTGCAACTCTTGGAACACGCGTTAAATTGCTTTGTATTCTGTCCGTTAGGTGACACTTGCTACGAGGGCAAAGGCGAAGACTACAGGGGAACAATGAGTCGAACCGCGTCGGGTCACGAATGCGTTCCGTGGGCTGACAAAGTTCGACTCAACCCGGTTGACCATCCTGAGCTGATTGGCGGGCACAATTTCTGCAGAAACCCGGGAGCCAAACTCGATCGACCTTGGTGCTTTTCTTCATCCTACGGCCAGGTAAATGTCACTTTCTTCCCCCGTTTTTAAATTCGTTTCTTTTCCGCTTTTGAATTAGTTTACCAGTGTACAGTACAGACGTCATCAGGCAGATGTCACATGAATCTCATGATTCGCCAAATACAATCGAGAATAACCGTAAATTCAAACTAACGCTGCACCTCACGCCTAATGAGAATTCAGGTGACATCTATTGTATTAAAAAGTAAACTTTAGCACCATAAAGGGGGAGTTATACGAGCGTTTTCCCTGTGGAACTTATATTTCTTATATCTCTTATATTTCTGGAGTGGCTGTTATTGTAACAATAAATTGAAGCAAAACAAAAACAAAAAAATGCGTGACAACCATTTCATGATGTTCTAAAGTTCTGTGACTTTTTGGATTAAAAAAATTTCAATTTACAGCATGGTGACGAGAAAAACCTTTTAATTACAGCCAGATCTCCACCCATGTCACGAAGTGCTGAACATTCGTCAGGCCAACTATAGATTGCATTTTTTGTTTCAACTAGTAATTTTCTGCATTTCATTTAATGGATAAAAAAAGAATTCTAACATTTTTAGCTGAAAAATTTTGCACATGGGTGGAGAACCCTGGAACATGGGTGGAGAACTCCTGCTGAAACTGGAAAGGTTTCGCTTATCATCAGGAAGTAAATTGAAAAAATTCTGAAATAAAAAAGCACAGAGCCATAGAACATCATGAGCTATGTGATGCATGGTATCATTGTCATTATTAGCATTAATTTCTTTTTAATCACACCAACTCTACAAATATCAGAGGCTGGGACAACCCTCGAATGTATCCCTGGAATACATAAATTTTTTAATTTCTAACGTAAACCATGGCATAATTTCCACTTCGATAAAATAAGAAGGTTGTGAATTCTGCTCTAGTAAACTTATTTCAATTTGGTATTTCAGGTACAAGAATTATGCGATATTCCGCGTTGTGACGACCACATCTTCATATACATCGGACTCTCTGCTGTTGGCCTCGTGGCTTTCGTTGTCCTACTGGTGTCTCTCATGTGCTACCGGCGCCACAAATCCCGCAGTGCCAAATCCCAACCAACCTCACCCACCAAACTGAGTGCAAAACAATTGGGAGCGAGTCCGTTAGAAATGAATGCCTTGCTTTCCAATGGCAGCAATTACGCCAACGGAACAGCGTACAGCAATGGTACTGCGGAAAAGCGACCCCAAGCGGCGGAAATCTCGTTATCCAATGTCCGATTCTTGCAAGAGCTCGGGGAAGGAGCTTTCGGTGAGTGGAATAATGACAATAATTTTTATTAGGAGATTTTGATTGTTTCGATCTTTCGGAATAGTGAAGGCTGAAGAGTGAATTTTAATAACCTTAATTTTACAAAAGTGAATGAATCCATTTTTGTAAAGAGGTAAATACTGTACGGTATTTTCTTTAAATTCATCGTAAGTCAAAAGTTATCCTTTTCGAAAGGCTTGTATGAACTCCCTCTCGTATTTTCAAGAATATTTGCGTATACTGTACTGTAGTTCCTTTTCATGGAAATGCAGAGAAAAAGAACACCTGCAAGTTCCGAAAATGGAAAACAATAACCGCGCCATATGAAAGAACACAAAAGGATATTTTCGAATCTTCAAAATGCATTAGCATTTTCATCACCCAGTAAACCAACAATAAATGTGAAGTGAGCACTTTTGGCATCGAAGGTGAATCTGGCGAATACTTGTCCAGCAAAAAATACATTCTTTTTCTCTGAATAAAATTCCAATAATTACATCGCTATAAGGCAATTTTCTCCATGCTCAGTTTTTCTGACAGACGAAGGAAGCTAATTACAGATAATTCTCAGTTGGATGACCTGCATGGTCCATATATGCCTTCAGGTTTATTTTTATTTTCCGTATGTTGAGCAAGGAACATATCTTGCATGCGATGTGGTCTTTTTTTCTGCGAAAAATCTGCAGCGGAAGACTTCGTAAGAAAATCCGCTGCATAAATATTTGAAGAAGCTTTCCATCTGTTGAATCCGTATCACAGCCTAGCCCAGTTATTCTTCGTTATTTCGATAAAGGCATCTCAAATAAAATCTTGACGCAAGCAGGCTGGAATTACCCCATATAAACCTAACTAACCCGGGCTGCTGATTAAATATACTGTACTGTGATTTACTGTGCCAGGATTCCGTATCCTTGATGCCTTGATGGGTTATAACGGATTTTGCATAAATCCTTGAAAAACCGCGAAAGGTTTTCCGAAATTCTTTTTAAAATTCTAACAAAAGACATATTTCAGCTTTTAGACATAAAGTAGATAAAATTTAGCCAATCGAAAAGTTTGAAATTTTTCGAAGAACATGTGAGGTTAATATGCCTCAACAATAGAAACAGGAATTCCCTCTTGTCTACTGAGACAATAATCTTCCTACATATTTATCTAAAATGTATTAACGTGAATTATCTATAGATCTTATTATTTTTACAGTCGAACCTTTTAAATTGAACTTCAAGGGACCAGCAAGAACTGGCCCCTTGAGTTCCAGGGAGTTAGGAAAACGAGCTTTTTTGTTGTTTCAGAAAAGAGGAGAAAAATAGGAAATTGTAATTGGCGATATTCCGGGCCTGAAAATGCTTCGATGAGTTGACAGGATGCTGAAGTTGAATGCAAGGGTTTATGCAAGGGAAGCCTCATGTCTTTCCCTTCCTTTAAAAAAAAATCAAGTTAAATTTTTATTTCTTTTTACTGTGAATAGGCGATTCGAATTGTGGAGGTTTGAGGGAGAAAGCCTTCAAGTTGGCTCTTACTTAGGAAAAACCATTTTGAGGAAATTTAGACGGGGATTTCAAAGAAATAATTGTGTATACAGTTGTTCGAAAGATATCAAGGTTGAGTTTTAATAATTGCAGGAAATGCTTTTGAAAAAGCATGCAATTTGCGAAATCTTCTGAATGATTGAATTATTCGACCTAGAATTCGAGGATATATTGCGTTTCCAGGGTTCTTCTTATTGTATTTTTACACAGCTAGTGTGAAACGAATGATCTGGACCGTATCTATTGATATCATTTGATTCATTTCCAGAAGAAAAAAATTTTGGGAATACCTTTAACATGGAAGATAACCGACAAAATGATCATCAAAATGTGAATAACTAGCAGGTTGGCAGTCTGCCTGCGTCCTGTTCACAGGCCTCGAGCCAATGAGCGCTGACAAACATGATGGCTAGAAAAACAACTGCTCCAGCAGTTCCTCCAACCAAGTATCCGCCAACTGCCCCAACATCCATCCTGTCAGACAAGGGCATGGGAGTACCAATTGGTCCATGGTTCCTATTCTGCTCAGAGCTCAAGAGTCCCATGTAATGATCCACTGCGGTGCTGAGTGATTCACCAGTGCCCTTTTCCATTGTGAGGGAATTCGGGATGGAGTTCTCATTTCCCAGAATGCCTGGAAAGAATAATTAAGAGTAAATTATCCAAAACAATTTAAAAGTACAGTACTTTTTATCTCCTATTGATTGATTGATATACAAGCTTTTTTTGCCGCTTGTCAGGATTCTCTAGGTTCAGGAAATGTTTCCGGAAATTTTTTTGTTTTGGTCCTCTAAGATTTTGAAAAGGAATTTTTTTTTAACAAGTTTTGGGAATCTTGAAAATTCAATTCTGCTGCTTTGGAATGCTGGGCATACGAAAATAAGGTGTTCTGGTGAAGCAGTAACCAGCATATTTACTCTGTAGTAATTAGCTCACTTACTACACTCTTGAGAATTTAATAAACTTTTTATTGAAATGCCAAAAGTTTTTTTATTAGCCAAAAAATCATATGCTTAAGGGATACTGGAAAATTAAAACAACAATGATTTTTTTTTTTTTTTTACCACAAGAAGCCAGAACATATCGCACTCATCATGGCAGAATCGAGTCAATCTTTTAGAACCTTTCGAGTTCAATCTTCTTTCTACATTTTATCTTGAACAAAAACGAAGACTTACCAGATGGATTAGACCTTCCGTCATTGGTTGGAATGAGCAAGGATTCATCCCTGAGTTTCTTCCCCAATTCCTCGAGGAAAACCTCTTCAAATCGAACCTTGTCTTTCATGATTTCATCCGAACCGACTTTTCGGAACAGAATATCGTCGAGAGCTGTTGCTGCGGTGACGTACAACTTGATTTTGAGAGCTCGTTCTTTCGCATCGATGGAAACAGGATCCAATTGATTGGACTTCTTGAAATTGTAATTAACCGTTGTTCCATTTGACAAGTGCACGTGAATGCTTCCAGAGTCTCTGCCATTGACTTGGGAACTTACGCATGATGGGTCACTCTCTGGATCACAGTCGCCTATTATGAAAGAAACAATTCGGGATAAACTTCCACCTTGTTTAACAAGTTTAAAAAAATAGGTTTTCAAAGCTGGTGGACTGTCTTTTCAGGCAACACATGAAAGCGGTTTACGAAACGCTGATTTGAAAAAAGTTTATATACAGTATTGTAATTGCAAGTTAAGACATAAATTTATTGATCGGATCGAGAGAAGCGCAATTCAAAACAATGTTAATACTGATTTAATGCAGCTCACGTTCACCAGGGTTAATGACAAGAATCGAAAGTTGACGTCATCACTGAAAAATTTCAGTTTTATTAGTGCTAGATTCGGAATTAGTGCTAGTGCCACAAATAAATTAAAAATTATTCCAAACAAAGTCATCCATCAAAAATCCGAAGTGAATCTAGACATTACCGAATTCTTGAGTCGAGGTTGAAGTAATTTAAAATCTTTTATCAAGGAAATACCGATTTCAAGGAATTCCGATGCAAAAACTTGGGCTCTCTGAAAAACTCAATTCAAGGATCTGAAAATTTATTGAAAAATTGCAGTCAACATTTTTTTTTCTTACCAACAAGGGTGTGATCAACCCCGGAAACATCGTTTTTCATCTCATAAAAATATCTCGTCCCATTCCTCAATTTAACTTGAATCTGCTGAATCGGCAAATCCTTGTCCATTGGTCGCCGAAAATGTCCGTCAGCTACAGTTTTCTGCAGAAGTGCGACAAGCGGTCTTTGGAACCCCAATTGGCCCTATAAGCCCAAGAACTTTTTGGGCCCAGCCCGACGTGACCCGTTTCAGAAGAACAGGCCCCAACGTAACAGTCTCAATCGGCTTTTCCGCCCTACTGGGAACTTTGTACCGGTTGTACCTGAAGCAGCTGTGATGACCTCACCGTTGGCGCCGAGTGTCAATGTTTGGCCGGGTTCGATTGCTACACTAACCCCTGAGGGCAGTTTGATGGCTTTTGGTTTCGTACCCGGGGACGCATCCGGGAAATGCACTTCGAGGTCATTTTCTAAAATCCGGAAAAATCAAGAATCTCGTATTTAATCTTCAGAATAGTAAGGAAAAAATCTTCGGCAAAAATTATTATTACATTAATGCGGCAAGACCCGAGGTTTAGAAACTGAATGTCCAATAACGTTATCATCCAATTTTCGAAGAATTGTGTGAAAGAAAGCAGATACCTTAGGATAGCGTAAATTCATTTAATCAGAAGGGTGCAATCTGTACATTTTTTCGAATTAAATGAAGCCTTAAACTATTCCTTTAAACTTTAAAAGTACGGACGCAGTCGTAAAGCGAAGGAGGACTGCACAAGTAGCTAAAATAGCAGGTTACGTTTCAGGCCCAGCATTTAACTTAGTCCTAGATGAAATTCGTCATGAGGTTGAGCAGACGGAATCGCCATCATGTCTTCAGTCATCTTCAATCACAAGAACAAGAGATTACTATGATATACAGTAGTTGGAAATTTTCCAAAAACTGTCCCAGAATGTGCTCAACACCTTCGGAATGGCGTCTTCGAGTTCTGTTTCCAAGTTGAATTTGCGTTCCTTCCATTTGATCACGGAAAATCTACCTAGGACATTTTTCGTGATCCTTTGAATGATCTCCGAAATCAATGAAATTTCCTTCGGTGTCAGAAATTCGTGATCTTCCACGTGGTCGGCATTTGGTGGTAAAGCTTTCCCGGTGTTGAAGGCCTTTGCGGATGCATCGAGTTCAAGAAGTTTGCGATCTTCAGCAGCCTCGCTGAAATATCACGCGCAAATATAGAAAAAAATTAAAAAAATTGTCCAGACTTCAACGCTTTAGGTCGCTAATAATCTTTATAGGCTGGCACAGAGGTGCGGCGGTCGACCGTCTGTACACGTTTAGACGCGGCGGCGCTAATACTGCGTTTTCGAGCGAAAAAATTTAATCGCCATACCTGCAACTACATCGAGTAATGAAGTGTAATGGAAAACTTCTCGAAATTTGGTTTCATTCGATTTTCAGCTGCATGGGAGAGACGTATTTTCTTCAACGTATAGTTCGGAGCCCGTATAACTCTACGGCTTTCATCGTTCTCAATTCAATAATGTCTATTGATTTAGGCAACGATCATAGTAACTAGTTTCGATATTTGACCTGAAAGGATTTCACTCTTCAGATAATTGAATCAAGTCCATTTTCTGTGATGATGCGGAATATACTAAAGCAGTACTCTTCAACATTTTCTGTACATAAAAATGCTGAATTATGGCGTATAGCTTGTGTAAAAAAAAAGGTACGAAATTGCTTCATTCACCCCATGAAAATTAAATTTGAAGGAAAACTTGAAAAATGAAATAAAAAATTAATTCAATCATGATCGCTGATATTCTTTACAAGACCCTGGCCTGTATGTGACATCTGTGGGCTGAAGAATGAAGTATTGCCGTTTTTCTCCAGCTATAGATGTCGCTTTACTCGCTTTCGGCAGTTTTGAAGCTTATGTCCTGTATGATTAGGTTTTTTGTTAGATTCGGTAAATTGTTCGGTTACTTGACGCTTAAGTTTACATCCAGGATGAGCATTTATACTGCATTTTTGTTGATTTTCCTCTTTAAAATTTTGAGATGGCATGGATTTCTCACTGAGTCATTGGTCTCATATGAAGCTGACAATTTTATATTGACTCAAACATTACAAAGAAGATTTTGTTAGGCTTTAAAATGTGTGTCCAGAAAATTTGGAGAAGGACGTGGAAATGTCAGTCACTCAATACAGGAACAAGTTTGCACTAGATTGACTCTGCCAGAGAAATTTATTTCGGAATTGGCAGCACTTTTTGATGTGAGAGGTTGAGAAATTTTGCGTCAAAAGGTGCTGCCCAGAGCTCCTTACTGCAAAAAAACAAAACGCAATATGAATTTATTTAGCTGTTATCCTTTTTCGTGCATCATTTTGATAATTGTTTAATATTTTTATACTCTTTACAGGAAAAGTATTCAAAGGCGAAATCCAAGGCGTGGACGGCAAGACCGTGACTCCAGTCGCGGTGAAAACACTCAAGGCCGACGCGACGCCGAAAGTGGCGGCGGATTTCCGACGAGAAGCGGACTTGATGGTGGCTCTGCGACACCCGAACATAGTTTGTCTCGTAGGTGTCGCTCCAAAGTCACCGGGCTCTTCTCAGCTGGCTGCGATGCTGTTCGAGCACATGACCCAAGGTGACCTGCACCAGTTTCTCATCACGCATTCCATCCGCGGCGGCGTTGCCGGAAATGGAGGGCATTTGGAACCTCCGGATTTAATTCACATCGCAACACAGGTGAGGATTGTTTGCTTTCAATCGCTTTTGCTAAAATATATGCGAACACCGGAAATAATGACTTACTGCTGGTAATCGAAGAAATGTGCGCATTCACGGCTCTTGAGTGGGCTTGGAGAATGAAAAAGAGGAACTAAGGCTCCGAAAAACTATAAATTCCGCTGGATAATTCGAGATTGCTTTCATTACAGTATTTGCATATGCAGCGCCTTTTCAATTAAAGTATGACTGTCATCATCAGTCGGAGTTCAAGGAGAGGAACTAAGGCTCCGAAAAACTATTAAATTCCGCTGGATAATTCGAGATTGCTTTCATTACAGTATTTGCATATGCAGCGCCTTTTCAATTAAAGTATGACTGTCATCATCAGTCGGAGTTCAAGGAGCAGAATCTTTATTCAATGCCAATTTAATCGATAACTGACGCAAAAACGTCATTAGCAGCCATTCAATGCTAGTCTAATATTTCCTAACTGTTGAGATAATAAAATGCTGCGTACTTTAAAAATGTCTGCTTGCAAGTTCCAGTTTATTCCTGCCGAGATGCTGTATTCCGTTGAAGAATTCAGAGAAAGTAAATCAGTTTTAGGTCATCAGAATACAAATTCAGAAATAGAGATTCGGAAGTCCGGAATCCATAAACTTAGAATCCAAATTATTCTATGCTCTCCATTATAAATACCGTGCCACTAAAATCTTGTCCTGCCTTTAGTTGTTGAAAAGTATTAACGGTGAGAAAAAAGTTTCCATATTTCAATCCTAGCAGTCGTAAGCGAAAATAATTGCTGAATTACATATGTTAAGTTCAATTTTTAAAACAATATCCTGTGAATATTATCAATGCCCTAGGCCTACAGTGCCTACACTATACTGTATATAGAATGCCCTTTTCATTTTCGTTGTTCAGTCAGAGGTTAAATTTCTTTAGGTATGGAATTATAAAGGTTATATTCTATTGCGGGACTTTTTATTGAAAATGCGACAGAAAATCATGCATGTAATGCATTATTCTCTTTATTATAAAAAAAAAAATAGGTTGCTGCTGGAATGGAGTACCTCGCAAGTTGTCATTACGTACACCGGGACTTGGCGTCGAGGAATTGCTTGGTTGGAGAAAATCTGACTATCAAAATCGGTGACTTCGGCCTTTCCAGGGACGTTTATTCGTCAGACTATTATCGTGTGGAAACAGAGTCTCTTCTACCCGTGAGATGGATGCCCCCGGAAGCCATTATGTACGGAAAGTTCACGACGGAAAGCGACATTTGGAGCTACGGAGTGGTTGCTTGGGAAATCTGGTCATATGGATTGCAGGTATACAATTGTTTTTATTCAATAATTCATTCATGGTTATTTATATATTTTGGAGACAGTTTATATTTTCCACACCGCGATATTAGTTTAATTAAATCTTCGGAGTAATGATTCTTAATATGTTTTTGATGAAGAAACAGCTTGTTGTGATGGATGAAAAATATTTTTCAGAATAATCGCACCCAAAGTTTGACTCAGTTTCAAGTTTGAGAGCATCTACTACTTAAATTCTTTCAATTGAATTCTTCATATTTAATCCTATGAACAAAAATATATGAATGAATGAATACTGTATTTGGAAGCTCGGGCTTGAACATATACGATGGGATTATTATTTCTTTTCAGCCATATTTCACAGAGAAATGTTCGGGGATCTTGTACAGAATCGTTGTCTTTTTCGCTGCTTCTTTTTTAGTAAGCTTCTGAAGGCCAGAAGTTGCCAACAATAAAATATAGAGTCCCATTTCCAGCGAAAGTACGACTACTCTACTTTAATAGCTTGTAAAAGACCGGTTAAAAATCGACGAGCCCTTCTACGTTTTTATCTCCCTTTAAAGCCATAAGTAGGACAACACCCGACATATTATCTTCATAGATCTGCTTTTGCTGATTTGTAATTGACATCACTCCTTCTATGACATTGTTTATAACTAAATGTGTAACCTTCAAAAATAAAATCAATCGTGTCGCAAGACGTTTAAGTTAGGAAGTAAAATTCGTTAGCAGCAAGGTTCCTCGAAAGTTAAATTGAATTTGGTTTTGATCATTGCAAAAAATTTATTTGCAAAAGCGTATTTGTACCAAAAACTACATGACGATGATTTTTTTTTTCGTTTCAGCCCTATTACGGGTATAGCAACCAAGAAGTGATAGAACTGGTGAGGAACCGTCAACTGTTGCCCTGCCCCGAGGACTGCCCTCCTCGAATCTACGGGATGATGGTGGAATGTTGGCACGAAATGCCATCAAGACGGCCCACATTTGCCGAACTTCATACTCGGCTGCGTGCCTGGCATCATAACCCTGGTCAAGTTAACGGACAATTACGACGGGTCCATTACTTAGGCAGGTGCATTACTATATATAGGGGCAAAAACAAAATAAATTAAAAAGAAACACACGTCAACCTTTTTTATCCCATACGAATATTTTTGAATATTTTTTCCGGACTGATAGTTCCATCTTTAAAATGTCTGCATGATGGTGTCCCGAGCGATTCCTCGAGCATCGAAGGCTTTTGGAAAAATATTTTACAGTATTTAAATTCGCTTATTAGTTTTTTTTCGCTTATATTCTGGAGATGCGTTATTTTCCAAGGAATTAATCTGTGCTGCTGGGAAAAGCTTGTACAATTCGGAAGCAATAAAAATAGTCCGTGTTTTGAGAGAATAAAAACGCATGGATTCAATTCTTATAATTGAATTCTAGCATAGCCATGCCGCAGTTTTTTGCGTAGGTCACTTTCGGTATAATTCACATATTTCTGCATTTTCAGGCATCCTTTTTTGCTCAGATTTTGGTGATCTGTGTAGGTTTTTACGTTTTTACTTTTCGAAAAACGTCATTCTTTGTTGGGAAATTGAATTAAACCGCGGGTATTTCAAAATTGTCTGCCTCTTTTCGCTTATTAAACTGAATGCAGCATCGAAGGAATGCAGTCTTTGGGAATGACGTTTATATTTGGCAATATTAGGCAATTCCCATTCTGACGTCGTACAGCAGCACGCAGTACATTTCCGAAGATAATATTATTGATGTAGTTGAGAGCGATTGTACCAAATACTGCTGATAAATGAATGACAGAACTGTGGATTGCTTTTTGTGTTTCAACCTGTCAGCTTTTGAAGTTATACCCGATGAGAATGCTATTTCTGTCCTTGATGTGCGTACTTTTGATGACCAGGTTTCCATCAAAAATAAAGATACGGAAGAGTAAATGAAGAGCAGCAGAGGGCCGTCGATGAATTTAGTGTTGTAATTTAAAAATTAAATGAAGACCTGCATATGTATACATTTTTTCTTTAATTCATCGGCAGATCGAGGTATTTCATTATTTTTGCTGGAGTACGACGAAGAAATGAACTTCCAGATGTAAACTTGCAAGATTGGTTTAAATAAGGAGCTCACTGTTTCGAAGAAATTTGTTTTTAAAATTTTCCCAACCTTGACGCTTGATTTACGGGATAGTTACTCTGGTATTTTGAGCAGTTTCAAGTTTGATTGTACTTCGCTTTGGAAAATTAGACTTTTGATTTCTCTGCTGTGTACGGTAGCAAATTTTGCTTTGACCATGAAACAGGAAAAATAGAAATTTTTATTTACCTGCTTTGTAATACAGTTGAAATTAAACGAAACAAATAACTAGGCATTTTTCAAAACCATGATCAACATATGAGCTGAATTTTTCAGGTTCCAGAAAATGTACTTCTGAAATGTACTACGGACAGTTGCAAATTTTCGCTATATCCGTGACCTAACTTTTTTTGTTTCCCCCACAGGTCATGCGGAGCCACACACCCAGTCAGCACTCTGGCGGCGGGTCCACGGGCTCCACCTCCCTCACGCACCAGCACCAGCACCACCACCAGCAGCAGTTCCAGCACCAACACCTCGTGTACTCTCAGCAACCCCCGCCCAACCACCCCCCACCACCTCAGCAGCAACTCCAGCAGGCACCTCAGCAACAGGCCTCAGCCTACGCCTCAGCCCCGGTCACTGCCGCATCAGCATTCTATGCCCAAATGCAGACGCAAACGAGTCCCTGCTCGTCTTTGGCGAGCTATGCGAGTTCAGCAGGCTATTCGCAGCCGTTTGGCAATCCTGGGAGTGCATTCGGGGTCAAACCCGGGGTTTATTCCCCGCAGTTGTCTACGTTTCGACAGCAGGCGGCGCTGCAGGCAGTGGTGAACGCTATGCACCACCGCCCCGGGACGCCACCCACGCACCACGTGGTTATTCGACACCCGAACGGACTCGACTCGAGGGCCTCGAACCTGTAGTCAGAAAAANGACGAACATTTAGGTTTTTCAATTTTTAAAATATGCGAGGGATGATAAAACAAACATTTCAAGAGTTTTCCGCGACTCCTCATCTCCAATGGCTGAGAAATGTACTGGAATCCATTATTGATCATTCAAGTGTTCATAAATTATTTTTATGAACACTTTAATTGCAGACATTAAATGAAGATACAGTACGTGCAAAAAGGAATGAGTGTCACAGCTCAGCAGTCAGAGATCAGAAACTGTTGGCTTTTTACAAAAGATCGAACGCATAAATTTGCATGAGACCTTTTTACATGAGGTTCGTTTTTTATTCTTGAAAAATTACAGCTTTGATGCAATGTAATTCCAGTTCCAGTTCAGATTTTTGCCCGCTATCATCATTATGCATAGGAAATGGGTTATTTCTGAAGATAATAATTGCCATGAGCGAGATTTGGCACTCCCAGGTTGATCAATGACCCTGGATGATTTTATTTCGACCTTTTGTGAAAGGTCGGTACTTTGGAGTGTAATTAATGGGAAATTCATTTCGAATGGACGATAATTGAGAGAGAAATTTCAATATTCACAGCCATTTGCGAAGTCGTGTGAAGGACATCACCAGCATTAAACGCTTTTGTTCGACGCGAATTGAGCATTTCAGCAGAGCGTCAGACATTCGCTTTCACAACATTCAGCCAATTTTTAGAGCCCGCGCAATAAAAAAAAGTCGACGAATTAAAAAAAATTCTAAATTGCATTTCTCCTTTCATGTTTTGCCTTGAAAAACTTCTCATCATTCCCTCGAAAAGGCAGCAGCATGGAATGTGATATGAGAAAAAAGCGTGTTTCATCTTGTTGAGAAAAGGGGATAATTTTCCCCACGACTCGTCAAATCTTGCTCATACGGGATAATTTTGGTCATGAATTTTTTCGCACCTGTTGTCATGTCGTTTTCGACATATAGGTTAGAAATGCTTCCTGTGTTTGGCAATCACAGTCACGCGATTCGAATTTCTAAATGCAATGAGCTCAATCTTACCCGGGCATCATTCAATCCATCGCAGATATTTCTCAAACTCAATCTCCATCAAATTAACAACAAAGCCTCAATATAGCACGCGTAAAATAAATTTGTTGTCCAGAAAACTTGATTTTCCAGGCTTCAAAACAATCTTATCTCGAACAATTATTAATTTTTTCCAGTGATTCAACTGCTGCACGCGGAAACGCTGCGTTGATGAAAATAATTTCAGAGAAAACGTCGTCGGTGGCCAAAAATTGAAAAAATTGCATCCATCAAATCTTGGTGGAATTGCGTGCTCGTTTCTTATACGGGAATATGGTTCGAAATGCGTTAAATGCATTCAGGAAATATGTTGTCCGTATGCTGAGTTAAGGTTGGGTGAAAGCGAACGCCGTTCCATTCACGCAGCGCATAATGGAAAACCCGCAGTTCACTTACAACGTAATGAGAATGACGCGACCTGGGTCAAAAAGGAAAGGCCGTCTTCACACTGCATTTTTCGTGGTCTTCATAAAATGTAAATGCATATACTTATGCAAAATACCAACTCCGGAAAATAGGCAATGCAAAAAAGCAGTGAAAGAATATATCTGATGATGTTGCCCGGCGGAAAACTATCTTGCACGTTATGAAACATGCTCCTCCGAAATATTCGATGAAGTTCACCGATGAGAACTGGTATATTTTCCTGTCTAAAATGTTGAGAAAAAATATCTAGCGTAAAGTGGAATTGTCTGTTGTGATTTTTGGGCATTTTAATGCATTGCCGAAGAATGTATTTCACTAAATGCATTCATTTCATGCCCAGTATTGCAAACCATGGACACTGATGTTAGCTAAAAATGAGCACGGAGACACGGACTACGGCGAAGCCTTGATTGCAAAGTCAGAGGATAATTCATATAAAGAACTGAATATATTTTTAAAAATTTCATTGACAAATACTGGACCTGGAAAGCTGCATTCTTCTGCGAGCACTGTACAATAATTGTTCTTTTTCTTTCCTCCCATTCTGGTGAACATGCTTCAGGTTTTTACTTGAAAACAAAATCCTTAGACAAAACTGAAACGAAAAACACAATTAAAATTATTTTCAGTAGGTTCATCGTGGATCGCATTGAAGAGAAGCTGAAATAGAGCAAAATTTGTAAGATAGGCCATGAACGTTTGGAAGAAAACATTTGTCCGTGATTTTCCGCCCTTTTTTCCTCAAATTATTAAACTTTTCGGAAGTCTACATCGCTTTAATCAACGCAACAAGAATCATGAAAGTTATTTGATAATTAAAAGAATTATGATTGCTGAGCATCTACCGGATTAATTTTTCAAGGAGAGGTTAAACACACGGACACAAATTTTCAATTTTCCTCATCAGAAAATATCCCGAAAAGTACACGAGACTATAATCACTACAGTATAAGATCAAATTGTCCAATTCTGTGTTGAAAAATTTCCGTAGTTCGGGACGAAGCGTCGCGCATTTGGAGCATGTTTTATTTCTTGCAATATTTTGCATCAGCGCAGGGACTCGTTTTAATATGTATAGAAACTTCGATGACTGAGAAAACCCTATTACTCTATACAGAGCTGCTTAAAATATCGTAAGACAAAACCATCAACAAAATACCTTCAATTACCGTACTTCAATATTTCTCTGCTCGCAGCGTGATGAGGAAAGCAAAATAGTTTTCCGACAGCTGCAAAAATAAAGGCAAGCGTGACGGAAGTATACAATGCAACCCTTGCGTTTTTCTTTGCCATCGGTGAGACTCTCCTCATAAATTCGAACCGATATTACCAGTGTGAGGTCAGCCTGGAAGGAGACCTCGATTCAGCTAATGGTTCAACCCGCGGGGCATTTCTCCTCTGCTGTGCCCGACTCGGGACTTTCTTCGACCCCTCGAAGCTTTCTCAGCTGTTGCGTGCTCTCTAATAAATTACGCGCTGCCCCATGTAAATTATCCTAGTCTTCTTTATACACACTGTACAGCTGTCTTGTTGCGCATGAATCTGCAAAATCATTGAGGACCACTTAACAGTAATTGAATTCATGTCTCTCGTTGAGCAGATGATGGTCGTTTGACAGGTGTTATAGTCAAAGTATTTCAGGACGCATTTTTCTTCTTCCCAATCGATTCAATTATCCAATGACTTTTTTCTTTCCAGAGCATCGAAATGATCTGATA